TATTCTAATTGAAAATCTTGCTATTCTTGTTTATTTAATAGATAACGGTATTTATGAAACAAATAATATTTTAATAAAACATGATGTATTTGTTTCATTGAATTAACGATATTATTTTTAATTAAATTACTGCTAATAATACGACATAATTTTTTTCATGTACATAACAAATTCATTACGGATAAAAATAAACCTGCATATAGGTATAATTAAATATAATATCAAGACAAACATTGTTTCAAAAAATTTAAATTTGTTTGTGTTGGCTTGCAAACTTAAGCTAATAGATTTTCATGACATTTTTACACGTTGCTTTAATAAAAATGGTTGCATACAAATGTTGAAATAGAGAACTGTTATTAAACCGTTTTAATTGTAATTGCGATTGCTGAGAGAGTCGTTTCATGAGTGTGCATATTCATCTGACATCAAGTACGAGCCATGCAAATTTATACCGCTCTTCATTACCTCCATTAATTGTGCTTTAATTGTGCTTTCCGCTTTAAATATCTCCGCAAACACTTATTACTTCGACATTGCGATCGCGGTGAAATTAATTCTTCCAGAGTGTTTACTTTCGCGACGAGGAATTTAACGCTCACCGAGAGATTCTCATCGCGAAAATGTTACGTAGGTACAAAGCGTACAAGGAACGTATGCAGCGCATGTACGTGGTGCCACGATACGATCCCGTTTATGTGGAACCCAATTTGAAGGAGTACGAGACGCAAGTGCTTCAGATGAGCGTGCCGGTTGACGACAACGATAGCTGCAACGACTTACAATTGGATTTCAGCAACAAAAATCACGCGTTTAGTCTGGACAATGTCAGCTACATCACCAAAGATCATGGAGACAGTACCGGTAATTTCCAGCAGACGATATAACATCTGCATACTTGATGCAAGCTGCATTTCTCAAAAATATATAGATGAAGAATTATACACAGAATTAAAGTATTCTGCATTTATATCCCATTCCATGTCATTATTCACAATCAACTACAAAGTGAAACAAAATGAAAAACATATTTATCTTCATAATCTATCAACATCACACTGTAGAAAAGAAAATATTAATTTTAACTTAAAGACGTTTAATGGACTTTCTGAGACACACAAAAATGTTATAAAATGTAATAAAATTAACACAAAATTTGTTAATTTCAACATTTTTTTGTACATCTCAGAAGATCCACTGTACGTTTTTAAGTTAAAATTAACATTTTATTTTTAACAGCGTAATTTTCCTTAAACTAAAGTTATTTCATTCAGAGGATTAACGTAATAATTAAATACTGTTCAAACAATACTAGTTTGTAGTCGATATCCGAGATATACTTGTATGTAGTCGATATAACGAGCTTATGTGTTCTGCTTTAAGGCCAACAAAGCCCCGTTAGTTCCGAAGCAGCGACCACGGCACGAGCATCCAGCATTGTCGGCAATCACGGCGATACCAATATTCATTCTCTACGACGGTCCACACTGGGCCGAAAGAATCACAGCGCGAGCAACACAAATACCCTCAACAATCGCGACGCGACACCGGTACTCAATCCCTTGTACAATCACGGCGGTGATCTGCTAAGCCCTAGTCCGTCCAACGACAATGTTACCTTCAGGGAGAGGAAGGATTACTCGCATCTCGGATTCACGTATCTGGGCGAGCAAAGTCCCGTGGAGACCACGACGGAATTGTAAGTCTTGCTCCGAGAGACGACGTGCGAATGTTTGTTACTTTAAAGACTGCCACCGAAAATTATACGCGAAAAAGAAAGATTGAGATGTAATCTCATAAATGATAACTTACAGCATCCTGTGTGTAATTTTTATTTTGATACACGTATCGTATACACGATAAGAATGATGAATAACTGTGATGGACATAACATTTTTTTTTTCACATCAAAGTTCAATCAACGATAAGATTCAAGCGTTAAAAAATGTCAAATCCCACGCGTAAAAATCCTATCGACGAATATTGTCTCGCATTCACGATATACGTAAAATCAACATTCACCTATCCTTCGCAACGAGCGGATGTAACTCTTTGTGCATTTAATTTCGAGAAATGCATGAAACGATGACGACGAGAAGAATTCTTGACGCTACGTAGCATTTTTCTCCTGACGCGTTAAGCAACATTAAAGAGCCATACGAAGAGCATATGAAAGCTTATAAATAGTTGAATGACTTTGTATCTATATGCTCTTCCTTTCATATGTCATCTTCTGAATGTGTACCTGCTGTGCTGATTCAGCGCGCGCAATGCAGCCGCGGAGTTCCCGGTGGGACACATATTCTGAACGAGTTATTCCGTATGTGATATCCATAAAAGAGCAATGTTATAGCGTTTCAGATACGCGCGCGGCGGAACGAGGCCGTGAAAATATCGCACGCGTAAAAGGCGACTGTGAAAGAGAGCGCGGATATCCTTTAGAGCCAGCCGATATTCCGCGCGATTTATTTTCAATCCAAGCATCGCGTTTTCGCGTTTAAGCCGATAGAGCTTTTGCTAACAAATTGCAAGATTGCGAATAATCGCAGCGCCTCGAATTAATTATCGCAAGCCATTACGCGACTGTACACACACACACAGATATGAAATAGTTGCTGTGCAATAACTCGATTAATTTCAGAAAATTAATGTTTTTCATATTTCACTTGTGTGTGGACTCTCATCCGTGATGCGTAAATGTACATTTTAATCATAGAACGAGAGAGAGAAAGAGAGAGAGAGAGAGAGAGAGAGAGAAAATACCACTGCGATTCAAGTTGTAGACTTAAGTTTCGAGGACGAAGCTATACTTGTTATATTGTACGAACGGCGTGTACTTGTGAATGCATGTCTCTGCGCGAGTCCCGTCGGCTCGTGCGACCTTGTAAATGATCGATCTCGATCACGTTGTGTACTATATAATACCTTTTTTTATTTATACGACCGCATGTTTGCTCATGTTATTCTATTGTAATCACAATTAACCGAGGCGACGATGGTGGTGTATACTGTTTGTACGTGATCGCAAGGATACCGATGAAGCTTCTGGCAGTTGTTGCGCGTTTCCACTCCGACTTGTTCGCCTCTCGTTCACACGACCGCACCAGCGGTAATTAACGACTGCCACGCGGAGAACGCGTCATCGACACCCGTGACGATGTAAATGGTGGAGAGTGTACTTAATTAGGCACGCGTAATTGTCCATTTCCTCTTGCAGTTTTCGACCACGCTGTTTGACTTAATGGACTGAAAGGTCGACAGATCCGCGGGAAGATGTTGTGAGTGAGGCGACGTTGAGAGGAATTGCGTATATAAATTTATGATACGACTTGATTGAATGTATATCTCTAGTCGTATACAGCAGGCGTC